GACAGACACTGAGCTAATAAAGAAGAACCTGTTTCTGCTAACTTTCCTATTTCTGGTGCTGCAAAGACACACACACACCCCAACTCCAAACCACTAGCTCATTCTTAAACAATTCCATTCCGTCTCACTGACCTCGTGGGGCTTGCTGAAGAAACTCTGGATGGAGACATTCTACGCTGGAATCTTAGGGGAAGGCTCAGCAGGCTAATGGCCAAAGGAGTGAGTGAATCGGCACCATTCTGTGAATAGTTTACCTGGCCTCTGAAGTTATGCTGCCAGGCCCCTGAGATGGAAGAAACACATGGGCAGGACAGGAGGAAAAATGATAACAAGTATACTCTTAGCGATGGGTTATTGACAAAACATGCCCAGACCATCAGGAACTTGCAGCTTCTTCTTCTAGCCATGCAAACCAGGCAACAGAGATGAGGATTCTTCTCAGACCTGCAATGCTATGAGAATTCATCTGTTTAGTCCTGTATTCTCTACTCTGGCTGGCAGCAGTCCTTTAAAAAGTAGAAACGCATCACGAGTATACTTGGGCTGAAGTTGAGGAAAAGTTTCGGCACACATCTCAAGCTCTGACCACTTCTGGTGAAAAACTGTGGTCCAACTATCTTAAAATATTACAGTTGTGCCCCGCATAACGATTACCCCACATTACAATGAATCTGCTTCACAATGATGTTTTTGCAATCACAATTGCGATCACAAAACGATGGTCTAAATGGGGATTTTCCCTTCTTCGGAACTGACTCTTCGCATTACGATGATCAAAACAGCTGTGCTTCGGAACTGACTCTTTGCATTACGATGATCAAAACTGCTGATCGTCGGGTTTTCAAAATGTCCGCCGGGTGCTCAAAATAGCTCCCCGCTGTGCTTAGGGATGGATTTCTCGCTATACAGGCACCGAAAATGGCTGCCATATGGAGGATATTCACTGGACGGTGAGTTTTTAGCCCATTGGAACGCATTAAACGGGTTTTAATGTGTTTCAATGGGTTTTTTAATTTCGCTTTACGACGTTTTCTCTCTATAGCGATTTCGCTGGAACGAATTAACGTGGTTAAGTGAGGCACCACTGTAATTGGTTTTGGATTTTGCCTATATCTCATGTGTGCCCCTGATTTTCAATTGTGCGGTGCTCTGATATGAATAAAGAAAGCAGTCCTCCTTGCTACCTACATCTTTGACAGGCCACAGGTTTAGTCTTTCTCGGACTGCCTTGCCTGCAAGGCACGTGCTCTGCCACTGGAACTACCATCCCTTCTTAATCCTACAAACTGCAGACAGGCCCCCACGTTATGTCTCTCGTCCCTTTTATTTCTGCTGCCTTCCCTCTCTTGAAGGTTGTGTTTGATTGCATAGCTGAGCTCCAGAAACCAAGGAAAGATGAAGTTTCATGTAAATAGCAGGCTGTACATAAGATTTATTTATCCACCGCCCTCCATCCAAGCCAGCTGCTCCAGATGGAGAAGAGCCACAAAGGCCACACATCAATCCCCACATCCTTTGAAAGGTGGGATTTTAGCTGGTAGGAAGAGCAGTGAACTGCAAAGGAAATTGCTGGCTTTGGTTGCTGTGTTTACACCATGTAAATAAAAATTATTTGCTGAACGCAGGCAGGTAATTGATAATTGCCACATGTTTCAGTGAGAGGTGCCAAGCTGCTGCTATCTCTCACCTCTCCTTCCTCCTCATCTGATCACGCATTTCACTATCAAGTTGCACACATGTCTGTCGCAAAAGCAGGGAATTGATCAGTGCTGCTGTGAATTCCAAAAAGATGTGTCCAAGTCCTGGCCTCCTTCCAGCCATTTGCCAACTCTCTTTGTGGCAACCATACAGCCTGATAACCTTACATTGCCTCCATCTTTTACTCTCACTCACACATAATTATAAAAATAGGGCAAAAGATTGACAAGATTTGCATAATATGCCAATATGCTAATGTATGCATGTACAGTAGCTACTGATTCAGAAATAATGTTTTTTTGACCAGACTTAATCTTACTTCAAGTGGAAATCAATGAGACTGCAATCTGTCATAGCTAACTTAAGTCCCATGGACTTCATTCATTCATTTCTAAATATGTTCTAAGCCTAGCTCCAAACTAATTACTATAATTACCAATTACTAAAGAGAAATTATTTGAGTTTCAAAAAGGCAGAAAGGGAGAAGGGGGGGGCAGACTGCCCGTGACTGTCCTCTGTTTTAAGAGATGGACCATAAATTCCAAATTGCTAGCTGAAGAAGAGCTTGAAACCATCATGCATATTGCAGTTACTTCCATCTAAGAAGCTTACCTGGCCTCTACACGATCAGCCATGTGAATCTGGGACATTAAAAACTGCACATAAGTATGAAACTGCCCACAAGAATTCGATGCACAGCCTTGAAGATGATTTATTTGTTTTTTGCTGTTGTTTTTTATTGTTAATGGTTGATTAAAGGTATCACCTGCTCCCGCATTTGTATAATTATACTGTGGATCTAACCACCATATAGTCATAATGACCCATGAGAGGTTCCATGCTATCCTCTGCACAGAAACCAACAGCAGAAACTATGTTCTCCCTTCTGCTTTTGACATTCTTAATATTACAGCTATAATTCACTGAGGCCAAAGTTCCACCTCTCAATCCTGCTGCCTTTGGAAAGCTTGAAGTCCCTGATTTTGCCTTCTATCCAAATAGATAATTTGGAGTGGCAATTATGGAGTAAAAACTGTGACTTCAAAGTTCCCTGCCCTTGTCCGGACTAGCTTTCAGCATCCAATCTTAGAATGTGTTTTTTGGAGGAACCGATCAAGCAGTGTACCAGCACATCCAGTAGTTAAGTAGAGGGAGATTTGCGAGTAACCTTGTAATATGTAGAACCTGTTTCTTTAAGTGGAAGCCTTAAATGGCAGCTCCTTCCTCCACACGAGTGAGTAATATTCCCAGCCAGGTAAAAAGAACTGTTTGGAAAAATGTAGTAAGTCCAAGTTATGTTGCTGTTGACTGTTTGCTTTCCTTACTTACAGCGTAGTTTTTAAGAGTCTGTATGGTGTAATGGACAGAGTGATGGACTAGGACTCAGGAAATTAGGTTTGAATCTGAGCGTGGCCATGGAAACTCACTGGGAGATGGCACTGGTAAAATCACTCACTTATCTTGAAAGCCCTGTTAGAGTAGCTATAGTTTGGTTCTTCAAACAAAGGCCCAACTTCTGTAAAGTCAAATGCAGGGCCACCCTACCTCCAAAATAGCAGGAGCCCTATATCTTTTATCTTGACATCTGCATTCTCAGCCTGTCACAAGGAGACAGAGCAGTGGGACAGTAATCTAGGGCCATCAATGCACATGCACAGAAACAATAATCACCCATTCAGAATCTAATACTATTATGCTTGGGGTACAACTACACCGCAGGAAAAAGGCAAATGGATCCGGTGCAAAGTTGCCTTCAGAAGTTGGATTTCCCCAGAACTTGCTTTAGCTGATCACACAGGGATCACCAGAGAGGAGAAAATTAGCAATCAGCCTTGTTTGCATCTTGTTAAAGTAACTATACTATGGCTATCTAGATCTAAAGGAGGCATGGCTGCAGCAGACATACTTTAACAAGCTGGAAAAAATGCTGATTAGCAGTTTTGTCCTTGTTCTTTGCTGACTGCTCAGGTTTTTGTTTTTTTCTCCCCCTTTTGGTCTCCTAGGTGCCCTAACACAACAACACCAAGGCTTTTAAAAAAGAAAGAAAGAACTAGAGTTGAATGGGAAGGGAAGCATACCCAGGCACCAGGTTTCGGGAAGGAAAAGATTAAAATGACAGCCAGTTTCCCATCTCAGTGTTGCCTTGCCTCGCTGTTACTGTAGTCAGGTGGAATGGCTTGAAATAGAACAGCGGCCACAGATCCTTCAACATTGGCACAAGCAATCCCTCTAGCTGAAACAATGTGAATGCATTCATTACCCCCCCCCAAAAAAGTAGAAACCTCCATGGTGGAAGAAAAATAATACAGACTGCTGGGGGGGGGGGACACACAGAATATTCCCAGCTGATTCATGTTGACTAGTTGTCATGTAGTCAACGGAAAATGTTGTAACTCTGACTGTTCCACTCGTTGACCTTTTCCCATATTATTTGCCAATGTAGTTGCCCCCTTAATTTGTACGAAATTTCCAAAACAAAAAAAACAAGTCATGCCCACAAATCCTCTTAAGACACTGATTTTTACAATTGAAGATCTCTAAGGGCAGTTGTTTAAGACTTCCTGTGATCCCCCTGCCCCTTACCCTCACAATAATTTCATCTCTTGAAATAGTAACCCCGAACATCAAGGGTGAAACCAGGGAAATAAGAAACAAAATAAATCAAAGGATTGAGGTCTAAGGTATGGGAAAGAGGCAACATCAGCCAAACTCTTCTGCTAACTCAGCAAACAAACGGAGGCAATAAAAGTGTCAGTTCTGTTGGTGTACCTATGACTCAGTACCTTCTTAATCCAGGATGGTATTGATTCATCTGAACAGAACCCTGCCTTGCTGAGAGGCTCTTGAATCTTAAAACTGTACGTTCAGGTAGCTTTGGAGAGAAACACTGCGGCCATTTGAGCTCTCTTCCTCTGCAAGCTGGAACTTCATCAAGGCCAGGTTTTCTATCAGCCACTTAGACTGCAGCCACAGCTAATCTAGCAGCTAGCTCTACTGCCATTCTGCAAGAGAAGCATGTTTCGTACTGCCCTAGGAAGTGCAAATGTGCCTTAGGGTTTGGGGTTTTATTTTTCACTCTTTTTTTCTAATGAGCAACACATGAAAACAAACTGGTTGGGCAACATTAGTAGGTGGGGCCAGATTTGAGCTCCAAGCCCAGCTCTGTTGTAGCACCAGCCGTTACTCAACGGTGAGCATTCAATTGTCTTAGGTGCTTGCAGAAGGAAATACCTGCCCAGTCGGTAGCCTCTATAGCTTCAAAAGCCCTGGCCCAAGGCACGTGGGAATTTGCCTCCATCGTCTCCGAGAGGATGCTACAGGGGAGCAGACCTTCCAGGACACCCAGCACTGTATGTCTTCTCTGATCTCTTGCTACCTTTTCCACCTAGGAGACGTTTATGTGGAATAGTTAAGGCAGATAATGCTGGGGTACTTTAATCAAGCACTGAATCAGAAGGTGCAGTGACAGCTCCAGTAAGAACCATGGCAGTTACTTTCATGTTCCAGTCAGGAATGCACATGCCTGCTTGGGCAGGTAGTGGTGCTTGGGTGTAATTGTAGTACTTGTAGATATCTCGTGAGAAAACAGTAAAGCTGCCATCTGAAGCAGAGTTTCTTAGGATCAAGGCACATTGGACTCAATGGGATGTACTTTTAAGTGCACACATTTGGGATGGGGCTGCACATAGCCTTTTGCTGCCTTACAAGTCCTCATGCAGGTCAGGTGGGCCATCTTCTGCTCCTGCAATGGGATGCAACCATGGACAGATAGACTGGTTTTCTGGATAAGCAGAGTGGATGGGCTTGCACCACTGGGAAAGATGACATTTTTTCTTGTCTTCTGTGATTCTGCTATTGTTGAGGGTGATCTTTAGCGGGTAGAGATCATCTGGTAATGTCTGAACTGGATTTTAAAGGCCTGTAGCAGCCATGAATGTCACAGGTGGCAGGAGAGTAAGTCTCTGTTTCCCAAGTAGAATTCCCCTCCTGTTAAATGAGAAGACCTCTCTTCACCCACTGGGTCATGGAATTCTGGAAATCACCTCTATGGATTGACCTGTTGTTCAGAGGGCTTTGTAAAAGAGGATAAAGACAGAGGAAGGGGTGAAGGAAAATACATCTAATGGTGACTATTAGTCATCATACTTTAGAGGAATATCTAAGCTTCTTTAAAAAAACATTTCTCTAAGTATTGGGGACAACCTGCATGGGATGACAGTGCCTTCGATTTTCAGTTTGTGAATTTGCCAGAAGCAGAGAACGGACTAGACAGGGCTGTAATTTGTTTGATCTGGCAGTAGATCATGTTCATATTCTTAAGGACTCCAAGAGACATTTCGAGATCTTTTCAAAAATTGCTTTCTAAATTAACTCATGGCCATGCCTTCTGACCTCATAGTTAACTGATTTTTCTTGCCACTTCTCCATTATGTGTCTATATATCAGCCAGCGACATTAGTGCACCTGATGCAGGATTATACAGTATCCACAAAAGCATATGTCATAGTAAGTGGCTTAGTTGTTAAGGTGCCACAAGACCGTCTTCCATTGTTTTACTTCCACAGAGCAATGGTAGAGCATAAAAATGTCTACCGATTATAGCAAAAACAGTTGCTCTTGACTTCAGAGGACATTAATGCAAGCCCTTTTCCTTGGCAAATGGCTTGTGTTGGCCAAAAAAAAGAGTAAGACTTCAAATCAATTTCAGTAAGTAAAATATTTATTTTAAAGAGATAATGCCTGTGCACTCTGACTGGTACTGCTTGAATGCTGGGAGTGTCAAGATGTGAGAAAGAAGAATTGGTTTGAATTACTGTTGAGTTACAAGGTCTCTCTACTGACCTGGACAAGCAATTTCCCCTTGGTTTCCATTAGCCAGCTCTAAAATGGGTCCAGGAGAAAAAAAATCATGGGGCTGTTGTGAGGATTGACAGAATAATTACTGCCAGGTCTAAAGAATCGAAGCATGAATAAGAGACCAGAAGAAAGTAGCAGGGATAAAGACAGTGGGCATGTCTGAAAGTCCGCACAACAGGCACTAATTCAGTAGGAGCAGCTGACGTATGATTACAGATCACATCCACTCTTCACTGGAAAGAGAAGGGAAGCAGTGATCAACAAAGAGAAGGAACTTGTGCCTGCAAAATGGATGATAGTGCGAGACACAAACTGTGCTCAAGAACAGACTGGCAAATATTCATTAAGGAGAAGGACCCAACTTGATTACCAATTGGTGCACCTCAAACTTTTTTTTTACTGTGCGGATTTTGCAATCGACATGTGCCACAGGCTGTTTGGGTAGGCGTAGCTTTGAAGAATGTGTTCATCCCCACTACCCACTTTTTTAAAAAAAAAATTGGCCACACCCTGACAATCTCTGAATTTCCTGCTGGGCAAAGCCTTCTCCTAGAGAACTGGATTTAGGATCCTCCTCAGGAAAAGGGTGGGATCAAGTGCAACTCTTCCATTATTACTGATCCAGAAAAGGTGTGGTGGTTTATTTGATCATGTTATTATTCGTGCCATAAATGATTTTATTGGACCGTCTAAGGGACTTACCATAAGGTCTAGGGCCTTCACATTGGATTTCTTGTGTTCCTAGTGAGACTTTTAGGTAAGTTGGCCATGTGCCCCTTCTTTTAGGAAGGGCACTCCTCCACTTGAAGAGGCTCTCCAGTCCACATTTGTGGCCAAGCTAAAGAATCTGAAGAGGGAAAACTTTGAAGTTGCCCATCAGTGCTAGGAACCTGGACAGCAGACTTAGTGGGCAGACATGTAACCTGATCACAGTCCTCCTCACTCAGGCAAAGGGTACTACAGTATATAATTCTCCTTAACTTATAACATTTTTTTCTAGTGATGTATCTATACATCCAAATTAACATAGGAAATTTTATGCCAGTCAACACCATCCTTTTGTCTTCCCTGCCTTTCTTCTTTTTTTTTTTTACTGATGTGTAACTGGCCATTCTGCCCTTAAGTGGCTATCTGAATGTCCTTTGTCACAGACAATATGTTCTTTTTTTAAAAAAAAAGTTATGTTTTCTAGCATATTTCATTCTATCCTCAATCTGGAGGAAAAGCAAGAAAGATGAAAGCTGTGGCAGATTCTGGTATTTTATAGTGTAGATTCTGACCCAGATTCTAATGCCTATGTAGCACTAAAGCATATAAATAAAGAACTAGGGTAGGGACCTACCAAAATATCTCATGGCCTCTGAACTATGGCACAACCCTGTGGGAAATGGCTATTTTAAACAATGCACTGGAGATGCTGACAAATTTCATTGCACCTACATCAGAACTGGTTGGGATTAACCCTGGGGGACTCAGTTGAATCTGTTGTGCTCTGTCAGTCTTCGAAGCTTCACTGAGTGAATGCAGACAGAGGTTTTCAAGTTGTGTCCTGTGACAGTGCACACTTAACCATTTGGTAAATAGGTCTGTTGTTGTCCTACTGAGTAGTAAGGACATATCACACTTTCACACTTTCTCAGAAATTAGAAGAGAGCAATTCAGAGAGCAGTAAAGTTCTCCTCAGGGTAATATAGGTGCTCTGTTTACTAAACCTGAATCATCTGAAGTTGAGCAAGGGAGGTGGCATTCATATAATAGCCACTTGGGTGTTCAAACCTGCATCATCTGCTGAACCTGAGTTAATACGTTCAGGTTGCATACAAGAGACTGTGATCTACTTTTTAAAATGCTTCCTGGCAGAGCTCTTGGACCTGGTTCTCCTCTTAGGTCAAGGGAAGAGGAAGGAGATGTCTATGAGAAGGAGGGTTCTCGCTACAGTCCTAAATGTATTTTAAGGTATACAACCACCGTGTTGTGGTGGTACATGCTATACATGCAAATTATGCAAATATACTGCTGCAGCTTTTCCACCACTTCTTCCCTCAAATTCCTGCAGACTGGGTTGCACTTCACACGAGCTGTTCGTCTTCAATTGTTGTTAAATACAACACAGAACCCACTCGATTTTTATGAACCCAACACCAGAACCAGAGAAATAAGAGATGACAAAATCTAGATCTGCCAAGCTTAACTTACAGAAGAATTTAGATGTTTTGTTCCTCTCACACTAGTTTGCAGAGCTTCTTAAAAAGGAGTTTTCGTTTTGTTTAGAGCACTCTGAATTTTCTGACAGAAGACCATAGCTAAGTCAGGGATAAAGGGAGTGGGGAAGGGTTCACCTTTGTCCATCTGGTTTCTGTCTGTGAACAAGATGTGCTTTATCTACACAACAGCAAATCTCAGGCCCAGCGTTAGAACTATGGCTAGGTTTAAATGGCCCTTCAAAATTTTCCTATCTTTATGGAGGCACAGAAACAGTTTCACCAAATTTCTACGGGTGAAGGAGAAATTCTCCAACAGTCTCTCAGACATAAGTATCAATGTAAACAGAGGCTGTAACACATGTTCCTTCCTATTTACCTCAAATAACTTTTAAAAGATCCCAATGTTAGGAAAGTGTGAAGGCAAGAGGAGAAGGGGACAATAGAGGACGAGATGGTTGGACAGTGTCACCGAAGCGAACAACATGAATTTGACCGAACTCCAGGAGGCAGTGGAAGACAGGAGGGCTTGGTGTGCTCTGGTCTATGGGGTCACAGAGTCGGACACGACTTAACGACTAAACAACAACTGCCAGGGGGAAAAAGCAGTGACTGGGCTAGCAGCCTAACCACCAATTTGCTTCTTCCACACGGGTTTTTTGAAACCTGGTGTTATTTTAGGGCATTGCAATAATGGTGGCAGGGAGGGACTACCAGAAAAAAATTCTGAAGAAAATTTGGAATACATTCTGAGAACTGACCTCATGTTTCTAGGGGAATATTTAAAAAGAAACATCTTAGAATGTTTTTTTTTGGGGGGGGGAATATTTCCTAAGAAATGTTGGCTCGGCTCCTGTTGTTACTCTTCAGGGATTGGCACCTTCCCCAGGGCCTCTCAAATATTACATTTGGAGGCGTTACTGTAGATCTATTTCATCTCTGCAGCAGATGCTTATAATGTCATTTCCCTACAGCAGACATAAGAGCAGGCGATGCCGCGTCCCACTCCAAGAAAAGGGCAAAACTAGTTCTGCAACATCATTTGCCCATCCATTTTCAGAAAAGTCTCATTTCTACAAAAAAGCAGTCCAGCCATTTCTGCCTTGCCATTTTTCTGCCCTATTCTCTGGGCCTTTTATAAGTTATTTCATTCCATTTTGGAACCTATCACAACACTGCCAGGAGTGCTGCATTTTTATTTGTATTTTATTTTCCCCTGTTTCACTTCTCCTCATCAGCCTGCTGCCTACCTGGCTGTCCGTATTTCTTGACGTAGAAGGAGGTTGTTTGGG